CGGGGCCGGCGGTGCGCTGCGTGTACGCCCCGCTGCTGAGAGCGAGTGGCTTACATGCGGAGCGGGCAGCCGTGTGTCTGCATGTGGGAAGTACGCAGACCTCTGCCGCCAGCGTACCGCAAGAGCAGCAGCAACAACAAGGACTACTGTTGATGCTGGGCAGCTAAAGGTGGTGATGGCGCATGTAGGTACTCCGGAGGCTTCATTTGTTGAACGACTAATGCTTGGCTTACAGTCTAATGCAACTGCCGAAGAGGTTACAGAAGCCAAAGAGAAGCGAAAGGCTGAACCGCAGAAGACCCAACATCAGGGTGCAAAACATGACAAGTCTAAAGATGCGAGAGAGGAGGATCTGTCATTATCTTCAACAAGGGCGGGGGCACAGAATCATGTTGCATCTTCTGGTGGTGATTCTTCTCATATTAAACATGGTGAAACTGTAACCGAAGTAGTAGCTGATAGTAATGCCCATACACCCTCCCCACTGGAAAAGAAATCACAAAAGCCCTCAGGTCAGGAGAATACCGTACCCGATACAGAGAGTCCGGTTGACACCACAATGTCCCAAAAGGCTGAAATAACTAAACAAGATGGCGCAGAAGGTGAACATGAAGGGACTGTGTTGTCATCTGGTACTTCAGTCTCACTAAAAACAGAGGAAAGTGGACCATCAGCAGAGGCAACATCGTCAACAACTTTAGGCACACACTCTTCTGAAGTTGTTGATTCCCAACATATCACATCGCAACCACCATCTGAAAACGCCACAGAGAACAGTAATACTAATGATGGTAATCCTTCACAGAATCATTCACCAACAGAGACGAGTACACTTACCACCCCTAATCCCACACAGCAGTCAGCTGCAGCTCCAGGTACGTCTGGCACTGGAGGTTCAGAAGAGAATGGAAATGCTGATTCAATGGCCACCAACAAAACCAACAGTGAAGCACCAATAACTCCATCTCCTCAAGGCAACGCTGAGATCAGCCGTACTCCTACAGAAGCGCCAACTACAAACAATACCATTCCATCTCCTGTACCCAACGCAGAAATTAACACCATCGTTCCAACTCTACAGAAGAAGACTAATGCTGACAGCAGTGTCAATCCTGTGTGGATGCGCACTGCAGCACCTCTACTGATTGTGGTTGTGTTGTTCTCCGTTGTGGTGTACTGAACGGTGGGACTCGTCTGAGGGTAAATAATAATAATGGTAACACTAACATCATCATAATTGCGTACATCCCCCATGGGGTGAATAAACTAATAATCTGTTTACCAGCTTTCTCTTTTAATTCGAATTTCTTTTCTTTTGCTTTTGTGTGTTTGTTGTTTTAATTCTATTACTTGCTTTTCCCGTTGTGTGTTTGCAGAAACATGGGCTGTTCTGCTCACTGACGGTATACTTCTCTTGCTAGTACACACAGATGTGTGTGTGTGCAGTAATTTAATATACATAAACTAGAGCCATGGGGTATTGTGTGTGTGTTTGGCTCTCTCTCTTATTTGGGTAATGTGTGGGGTCTTCTCTTTTTCATTTTCTATAAAGGGATACATATTATCATGCTAGCTGGATATTCTTTTTTCTTGCTTTACTGTGCAGTTGCCACTTGTCTCTCTCTCACTGTGAGTATTTCTGTGCTGCATCCACTCACTATGTGTGTCTCTTTTTCTTTCTTCTTCTTTTACTTTTCAACACGTGATGCATTAGACCTTGTGAATTCAAGTGACGACAACAAGAAGAACAACTTTTGTCATGATGCTGCGCTATTCGATCTATATACTAACTTTGCTTCTCAGTGTTACCTCTCTTTGTGTGGGGGCTGAAGAGGCTAAGGGTGCAGGTGATGTTCCTGATACTGAATCTGACGCTAAGCTTATTCTTACTGACCAAGAGGAAATGATACAGCCCCTTCCTCCAGGTGAACATGGTCTTTCTGGTCTTGCTGGTAAAGAAGGTCCTCCTGGTACTCCTTGCACTGCTGGTTCTCCTTCTGGACCTCCTTGTCGTCCTGGTAGTGGTAGTAGTAGTGGTCATCCTTCTCCTATTCTTGAAGCTAAATCACCTACTTTTATTCATTCATCTCAACAAGCGGAAAAAGAAGGTGGTGAAGATGGTCGTATTCATGAACCTGCAGCAGTAGCTGAAGATGGGGATGTGAGTGGTCAACGAACTTTACAGCAGGCCGGCCAAAAAGGAAATACTCAACAACAACAAATTCAACCACCTCCTGCCTCTCTACCTACAGCAGCCAATGGTGCTCGCAGTGGGTCAGACCTGAATCAAAATCGTGAAAAAGCGCAGAATCAAGATCAAACAAGTCACGGTGATGAAAGTGGTTCAGCACTAGCAAAAAATGTGCAAACTCTTGTACAGGGTGGAAACGTAAATGAGAACTCACAAAAGAATCCAGAGGAGCAGCACACCACGCACTCTTCTGGTAGACCAAATGGAATCTCTGAAACTTCGCAGAGCTTCAGTCCTCATTTACAGGAATCATCGTCTGCAGGCACACATGAAAACCAACAGGAACTGAATGTTAACACGGATAGTTCCAAAGGTGAAAATACAACTAACCAGGGAGATACAGATTCACAATCTGCTTCAACATCTACTGAACCTCCTGCCACATCTTCACCACAGGATGCGGAAGAAACAACAACCTCTACAACTGCAAATGCAGATAACGACACCACACCCAGTGAGGGATCACCCACCACCACCACAACAACAACACTTCCTCCTGAACTCACAAACAACAAGAAGGGTGATGCAGACAGCAGCAGCAGTAGTATCAGCAGCTCTGTGTGGGTGCGTGTACCACTACTGATTGTGGTTACACTGTCCTGTATTCTTGTGTGCTGATTGTAATGGTGTGGTGGTGTGACTCAGGTCATCCTTTGTTTTCTTTTTTTTTTCTTGCATGTATCCCTACAGCCTAACTAATCTTCCACCTCTTGGGATTTATCTTCTTTTTTGTTTCTTAATGTTAATGTGTTTTGTGTGTGTTTTTGCTCTCTCTGTGTTTATCCTATAATAATTATTATTGCTACTCCATTGTGTGTGTGTGTGTTCTTGGAGACTCTCTGTGTGTGCACCTGGGCTTNTGATGTTTCTCCTTCTCCACCTGTTTCTGGTGGTAAAGATTGTACTCAAGGTAATGTTGATCCTCCGTGCTCTACTACCGGTAGTGAACATGAAG